CCCCAAAACCCCAAAACCCCAAAACCCCAAAACCCCGGAGAATAGATTTAGTGTTGAAAATATGGGGTAGGAAAGGAAATATTAGGGTTTGGAATTGAATTTTGAAGAAAATAAGTGGTTTTAGGTATTTAGGTGAGATGTTTTAGCAATGTTGTGGAGAAATTAGATGTTAAATATAGGCAGATGGATGAAATATACAATGATCTTACCATTCAACTGCTTTTTATTTAAGAGCTAAGCTCATCATCTTATGACCCACTACTAAATATTCTCTTAAACAAGGAGATAAAAGACTATCTCGTTATTAATCTTGCTGATCGCAAGCATATCCTTGATCAAGGACTAAGATATTTCTCTTAATCAAAGATATTGCTTCGATTAGCTAAAAAGGAGGCCAAAAATATTCATATTGTTCATGATCATTCTCTGTAAAGAAATAAATTTGTTGTTTACCCTGAAGTAATTTGACTATCTTCTCAAGCCCTGGAGCAATCATTTAGATTAGGGAACAGACACTTTGAGCTGTTTAACTCTGTGCCTAAAGCTAATTAAATATCAAACTACTGATACTCCTGCTCTTCTTTATCTGAGATGGATAACTCTCCAGTAAATTTAAAGGTTTGTTAAGAGGAGAATGTATTATCAACCTTTTTCTTTTAATCTTTGATCTTTTTCCTCCCTTTTCCAGAAATTTTCCTGACTCTCGCTCCTTCTAAATCCTTATTTTTGGCATACCTCCTTAAAAAATCAATCTTTGATATTTATACCGACACTGAAACTCATCAAAAGAATCTATGAGGCTATATCTGGGATCATTTTTCACAAAATTGTTCATTTCCTTAGCAATTCTCTGCCAGAGTCTCTTATTTCCATCCTGAGTGAGCTCCAAAAATTTTGCTTCTGTTATAGCACACCATAAACTCTGGTTAACCTTATTAGATACTTTATTTAGTCACTATATAAGTTTAGGGGGAAGTCTTGCACTTGTCTTTCTGTTTCTTCTAAATCCAGAAGTTTACCTCAGTTCCGCTAGTCAAAATTTGTGGTAAATTTGGAATTTTAAAAATAAAATCAGAATAAAATGCTTTTGAATTTGATGAATTATTGAATTTTAGGCCTTAATAGCGATTTTGGGAGTTACCTTCCACTTTTGGTAGCGTTTCTTGGTGCTGGCCATACCTTGGAGAGGGATTTCCTCCTATAGATTTATTAGTATCACTCTTGGTTCAAGGGAAGGTTGGTTTTAGATTTTAGGGTGCTTATTTTTAGAAGTTAAACAATTTAAGAGTGTTGAGTGCAAGCAGTATCCTCCTAATTTCTCTAGTGGATGATCCTATGACATGGATAAAAGGATTTTGAGGCTCCTCATAAGGAGCTAGATATCTTAACCCCTCTAAAAATCAACTGGTACTTTGATGAACCCCTTCTGCAATTCATGTAAATTTCAGATCTTACTGCATCCATCAAGCTTAAATTATCTTTAATTTTATTTCTAGTTTATTCCACAGAAATAAGTAGCCACGGGGTTTTGGGGTTTTGGGGTTTTGGGG